CTAAGTTCCAGGGGACTGTGGAACATCTCTCAAAACGTCCTATAACTGTGGTGAGTCATCTGTCCTTTTGTTCAGGAAGGACATGGAGACCCCACGAGAGGAACTTGAACCAGTGTACAGTCTACAAAGAGGAGAGTCAACTCAGAGGAAACATCTCATTCATGCTTCCAAGTGAAGCCAGACATGGTCGAGCAGGACCTTTGGCTTATCTTCACATAGATGGAACTGGTTAAAGAAAGGAGCGAAGAGCTCCCAAGACCATGTGACCCCTGAGGAACAGATCCTCAAATGAAAGTGTAAAAATAAATTGATTTCTTTGGGCCAACTGTATGGTCTTAAACACCCGAAAGGAAAGTATAACCAAAGAGTAAAGTCATCAGTATATTTCTTTAAGAGTTCAAGGGACTATACTTCCCAGACTTTAGGCTTAAGTCTATATAAAAAGTTATTTAGACAATTATTTCTCATTGATGATTATGTTCCTAACCAGAAAGTGCTGCTCAAATGTAAGACTTCAAATCTTGGTCTCCAATACTGTAGGGCCCGCCTGTAGCTAAGGGAAGACAACCAGCTATTGTTCTAAAATGATGGATAAATTTGTTTTCTCCCCCTATGTAGACGCCTTTGAGAGGGAACCGACACTAATTCTAACCACTCCAACAGCTACCAAAATACCTGAAAGAAATCCTGAATCCATCACTCTAGAGTCCAGTCTTGCAAGACAAAAGAAAAAATGAGGAGGAACCCACTAGAGGAATGCTTTTGGAAACTCTTGTCAAGAAATTCCAATGGACTCTCATAGGAATTTCTGAAAATTGCCCTGTTCTGACTTTTTTCTAGTTTCCTGTCTAGAACTTGTAATGCTAATTGCTCTTGCCTTTACTTCTCCTTCACATCTCCTATTCACGATTCAAGGACGTTCTTTTCCCCCTAGAGATAAGAGTTATGCAATCTGGGAGTCTTTTAGATAGACCCACTGAAGGGGTACTCCAATTGTCTCACACTGCGATCCTATTCAGCAAGGAAGAAGCCAGAGCGGTCGGCATCCCTAGTCCCTATTGGCAATTTGGATAACCCCTTCAGAGGATGGTGTGATAAGAATAGGAGGTAGGAATTGGCTAGGCAGTTAGGGTAAAAAGACCCCAAAGAAAAGTAGCCAGTT